TAGCCGTTATATTACTTTCGTTCTGTATATTTATAACTATATATTATGTTCAACAGCTTGTCTTCGCATGCTCTATTTTTTTCCTTGGCACTACAGCCCCAGTGGGCCTAGGCCTACCTCCATGAACTCCGTTCATTTCGGTTTTTCTAGATCTTACACATTCGGTAGGACTCCTTGGGCGAGTGATCAGCTCGTCGCAAGGGCTCTACCTGTACACAAACACAGAAAAGCGCACACAAATATCCATGCCCTGAGTGGGATTCGAACCCACGATCCCGGCTTCCGAGCGAGCGAAGACAGTGCATGCCTTAGACCGCTCGGCTACCACGACCGGCTCGCATGCTCTATAGGTCATACTATTTACATCCCTTTCCATATAAAGTAATCTCTTGAATTAAGATCTTCCTGAAATTTCTCAGTAAAATGAATGATCAATGTAAAATTGTCCTTGTGCATAATTAAGTACCACGCCATGAGAACGTATGGGGGAGTGGAGGTAGAACTCCACTCATTATTATGTGGGGCAGTAAATATAGATGTATGGTTAGCTTCACGCTCTGCCGCTTCATTCCCGGAGAAAGAGCCCCTGATACACATTGGATGGAATAGGTTCAAGGTCCGGTGTGGACCCTGTGTAAAGAGAAAACCTCTTGTCGGAGAGATAAGTCTATACTCACGATAGACAAGGAAACTGATTTTAGAAAAAGAAAACCTACTCAAAGAAGTAGGTCATACACTTTCATTAATGGTAATCATACTGGCGTATGTTTGGAGGCTAGCGAAGGACACTAAAACGCCCAGTCAATGTAATCAGCACGGACAGTGATTCGGAATAATGCATTAAGAGTAGGCGTCAGTACATCTGTTCTGGACCTTAACATATTTGCTGACTGTACAGTTACGGGCAGAAGTTTTGATACGAAGCGACTCTTATCGGATCGGAAACTTTCATGTCCTGTTCAATGTAACACTGTTCAACTTGGAGACTCGCACTTCTTCCAAAAATAGCATCGGTGTGTGACGCATTGAAATGCATTCGTGGATTTAATCTCGAAACCTGTTTTCATGGCTATGCTGGAGCTCCGTTCTTCATAGCATTTATACTCACTGAATCTGCGTGTCACTTTGCATGTAAAAAAAGTTATGACTCTACAGATTATGATGAAACTTACAGTATAAACACGTTCACTTCTATATCATGAAGTATCACTTCATATGAGGCTCTAAATATATTTGGTATCAAATTACAATAAATTATGCAAGCCGATTGTCTAGAAAATGTGAGCGCCTCTACGTCTCACAACCCTATGATCATCCAAGGCCTGTTACAGGCATAGCTTTACCTTATTGGCTATACTCTGTCCAGAACATCAGCGCGAGTGCGCCATCAGATAGTAACGTAGATCATTAAGTCATAATTAGAGTACTAGATTATACTTTCAACACACGATGGAACCAAAATCACCATGCCTAGGACCTGCTTGACAGCACAGGACTTCGATTCCTAAATACTGCAAGGCATGAATTAAGCTTAGAGGCCTTTGTATAGACTACAAATTGTTTCAGCCAAAACTAATGAACCCTAATAAAGGAAATCCTTCAGGAAATCATCTCCCTTTAACGTGCACGTGGCTTTGAGACTAAATTTCGTCATCTAATGCTATGGTAAACTAAGCAAATATTTGACTGTCTCAGGGATATTTATGTGAAGTTTTGTGTGTATAGAGTGGAGACAGTAATTCCCCACCTACTCTCTAATTTGGCCCCCGATATAGGTGAATGATTAGCATTATAATGTTGTATTGAAGCATCCTGTTGCAGTTGGTATTAGAATTTATTTTTGGCCATGTTTACTGTCCACTATGCAACAGTGCACTACACGTTTCTGCCTAATTGGCCATCATCAGCTGCCTTGAAATTCGAAGGAACTGCATTGCCTTCCGCGTTACTGCGATTGGTGTTTTCGTATATACTGTGACGTATGTAACCTTTGATAGATAACGGGTCGGTAAACATATTCCCATAAGACACGCGCACACAACAATAGGACGTCGATTGCTAGGCAACAGAGGCGTAAACACGTATCCTTAATAACAGAAGACGGTGTTTTCCATGGAGTCCTCCCCGAGGCTATATAAGTAGGACCTCATGCAGTTAGAATGGGAACTGGGTCAAGTTCTGGAGATTGCAGTCGAAGGTGATTGAGGAAAGTGACAAGAAAGGAATTAGACTGTGCTAAGGAGACATCAGCCGGTCACGGTAGCCGAGCGGTCTAAGGCATACACTGTCTTCGCTCGCTCGGAAGCCGGGATCGTGGGTTCGAATTCCACTCAGGGCATGGATGTTTGTGTGCGTTTTTCTGTGTTTGTCTACAGATAGAGGCCTTGCGACGAGCTGATCACTCGCCCAAGGAGTCGTACCGTATGTGAAATATCTAGAAAAACCGAAGTGAACGGAGTTCATGGAGGTAGGCCTAGGCCCACTGGGGCTGTAGTGCCAAGGGGGGGGGAGGAGACTTCATGTTTGTGATGAACTTATAGTGAGACTGTGAAAAATCCGTTGCCAGGATACGACTAGTGAAGATTGAGAATCCTAGTTAGTGTGCAATAATGAACTGGAAAGTGAGTAGTTTCGCCGTAGCGCTGTAGTCCCAAACTGTGTGAATGTATAAGGTGCAATAAATCCAATCATCCAGTCAAAAACCCCGTCATATGTCACACTTACACGTGACCATATAATGTTGCTAAATGAAGATATTACTGTTGCATATTGGAGAGTAAACATAACCAAAAGTAAATTCCAGATTAGCATAATGATATGGCTAACTTTGCTCCAGAGAAAACATCCCCTCGGCGATCACTGTCTGTGTCCCTCAGCTGTGTTTCATTTTGTGAAGAAGGCAGAAATACCAACGCTTCTTAAGGGACCCCGACGTCGAATCTGAGACCCATACTCCTATTTTTTTAACTGAGATGTAATCGTTCATGAACTGGAGTTCGTGAATCTGTGACAAAAATATTCGTTGCCTCCGTTCCCTCCATCCTATTTCTTAGTGATGGCCATACTGCTGACGTTTCGGATATCACCCTTGTTTCTGTCTTCAAGGCAAAGTGAGCAATATTGACTATACTGCCGTCGTTCCGGATATTCTTACTCTATCCTTCTTCAAGGAGAAGTGAATGTCCAATTTCTGTGACTTACTTAAAAATGTTCTCAGTAGCTCAGACGCCGAATGATCTGATGTTAGTGGGGGAAATAAATTGAAAATATTATGGAAGGAAATTATAGTGCCTTAATCTGAGGTACTATCCCATCATTTCCTTCTAAGGGCTGAGGAAAATCACGATATACTTCGGTTAGAATAGTTGGTATGCAGGCCGAGATTCGGAAAGGAGCAGGTTCCAAGTACACATATCAGAAAAAAAGCAGCCACTTGAGACAGTTTACTTGGTACAATCCAATAATATCGGCAAGGAACACTGATTATTACTTTACCCTGAAGATGGAAACAGTATCGATCACGACAGATTGCCACAGTCCAAAAACAAAAGCAACAGTCGTGAAAACACAAAATGCTCTGTAATACAGGTACGCAAGCTATAGAACTGATGGAAACAAAGCGGAAAGCCCCTCACTTCCCACCAGTCGCCTCAATAATCGAAAATCATATTCACCCTCGACATTGATCTAGGAGAGCCATATGCACACACACAGAGGAGCATGTGTCTACCACTCTGCACAGTGTCTTCAGCGCAAGAGCTACACTACCTAGACACACTGTTTCTTCTCTGTCCGTTTGGAAACCTTCTCTCTACCCGCCCGAGTACGTCATCTCCAAACCACCATCCATAGACCTTCCTCTGATGTCACGTTCGGAGGGGGAGCAGAAAGAAAGACGTGCCCCGAAATCGGATATCAAAATTGTTTTCTCGAGTGGCGTGTAGGGACGATGTAAGGTCCCGTGAACGTGCGAGGTTGGCGTGTGTTAACACTTTCGTTCAATAGTGGAACCCTTGGCACAGTAATGTTATCGAGGGTTACGGTGACATGCCATCTGAGGCGCCATTTTTCATTTTGCTCTTAATTTTGTTGGTGTATAAAAAGGATCTTCCAGCTTATGTCCAGGCACCTTTTTCCTCTCTGCATGTAACATAAATTGTAGCAGCAAAGAACACAAACATGTAACAATTGAATTCACCAAAATGTAATGTCGAAGGCAAAAGACATGATTATGCAAATATTGCTTCTCTGCCATTGCATTATGTTAAAGAGAACTCCTGAACTCCTTCGCTTTATATCTCTTGATGACAATTGAAAACAAATAATGTCTTAAACTTAGGTTCATTGAAGAGAGATGATACTGAACAAAGGTTTTCTGTAGCAAGAAAACTGAATAGATCTAAAGGGTTCTGACGATGGTGTATAACATTCAGAATTACTGAGCTTTTGGACTGTTCTATCGTCCGGTATTCTGGAAAATAGAAAACACGACATTCCGGAAAATGGATATATTTCCGTACTCAGGTGAGGGGGGAAGATATCTACTCTGTTGGTCCCCTTGGGAAGAATGAGATCAGCTCTTTCCAAGGGGCCAAACTGAGTAGGTGTTTTCCACCTCTCTTCTGAGGACGGAAACAGATATATTTTCTGAAACGTCGTGTTTTCTATTTCCTAGAATATGGGACGATGGAAAATTCCAAAAACCAAGGACAAAGAATTTTATATTTTTGCCTGGAATAATTATCCTTGGTGAATGTTTTGGTCTTCAAACCCCGTACTACCTAAGCGTCCAGTTTATAAAATGATCATCTTATGTAAGGTGGAGCCGTGTAATTTGATAGACAGATACAAACATTTTGGAGGAATTTATTGGTACCTCCAACTTCAGGGTAGAAAAAGCCTAGTATTTAGTTAACCGACTACATACACGTCGTCACATCCAAGAATAAGACGTTCTTATCTTTCAGTGACATGAGAAACTCAAGAATCCCATTCCTTACCTTGCTCATCGCCTGGTGAAATCGGACCGATTCTCTTCTGCTGTTAGTACTGCTACTGCCGCCAGTTGTGGAAGGAAGGGTAATATTGCTGCCACCGCTACTGGTTGACAAATCTGGAACCAGAACAAAAGGTGGCGGAGTGTGAGACAAATTACAGAGATTTTCTCTAACGTACGCACCGAGTCTTTTCTTCCACCCCCACCCTCCACCACCACGGCATTTACATTTTATAAAGGTGTCTTCTCTACCCCTTCTCCTCTAACAATCTCCTTTAACATTCTCTCTTCATTAAAATAATCTAACTGAATCCGTGATATTTGATTTATAAGGCTAGTAAGCACTTTTAATCCTCGGCCCCTAAACATAGATCCCATGAAATAACAGAGCTCATTAACAACTCAACACCCTTCGTGTAAATGTAATTCTATAAACGGGAGATATTCCATAACTAATATCGGACTTAATTGTAATATAATTAAAACAGGTATACCTTTCAGGAGGGTGGATCTCATTCGACTTCGCCCATGTCAACAGTTCCTCCAATGGAATGGAAGTTGGTGAATCGTGGAAATACGTGAAGGGAGATGGAAGGAGAGAAAATTCAGTAGAGGGATGCTAAATTCCATGTTTGAACTACGGGGGTGCTGGATGATTGGATTAAAAGACAGCTTCAGCTCAAAATAATTTATTAGATGCTTCCATAATTTATTGGAATCCTGGATCACAACCTCATCAGTGGACTTTAAACACTTTTATCGTTATGGTCATTAATTGAAAACACGAGGAAATATAAGTTAATATTATACCCGACAACGACCGTTGTTTTAACTATGTGAGCACTGTTCACTGCCGGATCAGCGTAACGTAATGTTAATAAAATTGTACTCTGCACGAAGTAGAAGTGCATATTTCTAGTTATTTTGCATTTTGGATTCAGCGTGTAATAAATTTTGCATCCAAACTGAATTGGGAATGAAGACATGGCATACGTCTTGCGAACATGATTAAAACATGATGGAATTAAATTAATATAAACAATTTTCTTTTCAATACATTTCAACAGAACAACGAAACGTTGAACCCCAGACAAGATATCAAACAGGTAGAGGGGGGTACAGGCTGTATCATATCCCTACAGAAAAGCGCAGAAGAGAAAGAAAGCAGTAATCCTATAAGAGCAGTGATCAGAATCTCGAAACCATAAATCAGCTCTCGTTAGGAATTCGAGAAATTAAAGATCGCAATTTTTCTAGTACGAAATTCCAGAGGTCGTGTATCAAATCTTGGATGGAGCAATGGTTCAGAAAATACAAGATACCAGCCCTGAGACTTTGTGCTCATGTAAACCAGAGAAGGGCAACATCATTAGCACTTAGACAGGGGAAAAGTTTAGATATGAGGCACAGAGTTCACGAGTACGTATTACCAAGTGATGGCAATAGATTAGACACTGAAATTCGATTGCACCTTAAGTACCAAGTTTAGGAAAATAAGACTTGTACTCCCTTTTATCATGAACTAAAATCATAACACTGCATTGCATTGATGAGTAAGGTACTGCTTAACAAAATATCCTCTAATGCAAAATGTTAATCAGTCTGGTACTAAATAAACGAATGTAGTTAAATATATAAGTACATTTTCTTCATACATAATTTTCCCGATACATCTTCTATGCCTGCCACAAAGCAGACGCAATGACTGGACACTGAGGTAAGGGTGACACCGAGACAAGGAGACGTCTAACACTGAGGGAGTGATGATATCGAGTCAATGAGATATCTGAATCCTAAGGTACTGAGGACATCGAAACAACGAGATACTGTATCTGAATCATAAGATACTGAGGACATCGAAACAATGAGATATCTGAATCACAAGATATTGAGGAAATCGAGAGAGTGAGATATCTGAATCCTAAGGTACTGAGGACATAGATACAGTGAGATATCTGAATCATAAGGTATTGAGGACATCGAGACAGTGAGATATCTGAAACAGTGGCGGCTCGTAGCTAAAATTAGTGGGGGTGCTGCTCTAGAAGCGCACAGTTCCATACAAAGATTTGGGCTACTGACATTAAGCTTAAGGATTATATATTGTATTGTACAAGTATAAAGAAAGAATTAAGAAAAAAGGACTCATTATATAAATGTTATCGATAATATCATGTGGAAATTGGGGGTGCTGGCAGTTCCGCAGTGCCTATACACGGGCCGCCCCTGATCTGAAACGTAAGGTACTGAGGACATCGAAACAATGAGATATCTGAATCATAAGGTATTGAGGACATCGAGACAGTGAGATATCTGAATCCTAAGGTACTGAGAACATCGAGATAATAATATAATTGAATACTGAGGTACAGAAGGCATCAATATAAGAAGATACTTGAATACTGAAGTACAGACGGCACTGAGGAACGGAAATATCTGGAAACTGAGGCAGGCTTATAGAGGACACAGAAGCAGAGGATATAAAAACACAGATTATGGATGCATAGAGATACAGAAATGCAGAATAATAGGTTTTTCTTTGTATTCCTCAGCTACGTAAAACACTGCAAATATCTTTACACAATGTTTATCATGTGCTTAATATTGGAGGAGCTCTAGTGCAAGGCTTAAAATACGATATTCTTCATTCATGATATCTACTTTCTGAAGTACTACATACATCAGTGAATACATCATACCCCACATTTAGGTCTAACTGACAAATATGGAACATGCTGTAGGCTAAAACAGAAAATGAAACGTATTACGTAAGTTTCGTCTATCCACTATTAGCCAAAATATGATACTCATCTTGAAGCAAGGCTTGTAGAAGCAAGAAGGAAAGAGAGAGTTATCTTGGGAGGGAACCGGGAGCTCGGCATTTAATCGATATATTGAACAAATCTTAAATCACCAAAACCCAAATCCAGAGTGTTGGACTGCTGTGTTCTAGACACACCTTAGATCATGGAGAAAATGTGGGAGTGACAAACAAAACTGGGATAAAAATGAAGGTATGAAATGACGTTGGATATAAGAGAAAACCTTCTGCTATTTTATTATAAAACTGCGGCTTGTGCGGATTTGGGGGGGTCTTGGAGAAACGGGAAGGAAGGTTGGGTGGGGAGGAAAGAAGGGTGAGTGAGCTTGAGCCTATATTGGTCTCTTACAGCAGAACCGCCCACCAACCCTCTGTGTGTGTCCGCCACAGATTCAGACTCCTAATTAAGACAAGGGGAAGGGGAGAAGAGGGACCAAGAGGGAGGTAAAGGAAGGGATATTGATCACGAAGCCAGAGGGAAGAGAGGGAAGCTGTCTGGATGTGGGGTGGCAAGAGAAGGAGTAATTTCCTCGACCGACAAGGACCATCACGTCGTACCATCATGTGTATGCATGCTTCATGTGTGATTTTACATGCGCTCCGTCAAGAAAAGTAAAGCCATTAGCTTCCTGCATGGGAAGTAAGGCAGCGTCAGGATAATGAAACAAGAAGATTGTTTAACATCTCACTCTTTTCATCGGAGGCTAATTATCGTTGTTATAAACAGAGGGCGGTGCTAATTTGCAATTTCACTGAAGCAACTGAGAAAATCGTGAAACAAAGAAACGTTTGCTGTAACACCTGGCCTTTGTCATCATACGCAACTCTGTCTCTGGAGGAAGGTGTGGTATTCATCAACGGTCAGCATTTGTTCTGCAGGTTGATCAAGAAAGCTTTAGAGATGTGAATGAAGCAGAATACAATTGTAATTAAGGGAGGTCGGCTGTATTGCAATATATTAGAATTTATCCATAGTCTCAATTATCAGCACGAAATATTTTCTGCTTGTTTTGAAAACGTAATAATTCATACCAGATTTTACTATTGCTGTGAATTTTGCTCATCCTTTTGGCGCAATCTCAAACATCGTCTCAACCTTTCTCTCGGGCTACTTACAGTTGGACTGACAAAAATATAAAGGTAAAAAAATGCTGTTTTCTGGGATGTGGCGCCGTGTAGATTTTGTGTGAACCGATGTTTCAGAGGAATGTATCACCTCCATCTTCAGGGAAAGTAGGTTCACACAAGATCTGCACGGAGCCACATCCCAGAAGTAGGCATTCTTCATAGTCACCGCAGTGAAAACCCGCAAATCTTATAAAGGTATAGGTTAAAGCCGTCTTCGATCTTAATTAGTTAAGCATCACGTCATGCAGACGTATGGGGGAGTGCAGGTATAGCGCCATAAATCTTGACCTCACTATTAGATGTAGGTGAGCGGTTAGCTTCACGCCCCATCCGCTTTAAACCCACTAAAAAAGCCCCCGGCACCCATTAAATAGGAGGATGCTTGGAAATCAGAGCCGTTCTGGATGCTGTAGTAAAGAGGACAGTTCCTTGCCCTTACCGTCCAGCCCACCGTCTGTCGCTATTCCAATTGAGTTCTCATACTTAAAAGCGTATAAAGTATTAGTAATTTAAAAAACCATTACATACACGGTAGTTCTGATATCTTGCAAGTATGGCTGTAAAAAGAGAGTGCTAATGTATGAAAGCATAAAGGTCGAAATTTAAGATCTTCAGTCCATAACCTATAACATGTCACCAATATAATAAACATATGAAATATAGAGAGAGGGAACAGTATTTTCTCTGGGCTATCATCACGTGAAAAATTATTACTTAAATAGCATCCAATACAATAGATTATTACGTTAACATTTCGAGCCAATATATTTTGGCTCAACTTCAGTCATGTAAAATTCAGTATTCTGCGCACAATACTACAGTAATTCTTTTTATTTTGCTACATAAATTCTTCAGCTACCTCGTAATTACTGATATACATTAATACTCTTAAATTTACTTATGGCTGCCTAGATTATAAAGTACCAACAGAACAAATGTAATCGTTCATAAAAACCTGTAGAAAATTTTTACTTAGTAAGAATCCTTTGTGTTCATTTACCAAACAGAGATGAAGTCACAGGAGGTTGGAAAAACTGCATAATGAGGAGCTTCATAACTTGTACTCTTCTCCAAGTATAATTAGAATGATCAAGTCAAGGAGATGAGGTGGGCAGGTCATGTAGCACGAATGGGGGAGGCGAGGAATGCGTATAGAATATTAGTAGGA